CTGGCCCCCGGGCCACATTTTTGACACCCGAGAACTAGGCCATGGCAAGGACTTGAGCAAAACATGAAAGAGTGCATGTGGGCTCCAGACTAATAGCATATTACAAATCCTGGAGATCTCACACAAACTTGCAGCAACACATCTTATTCATTACTAATCAGAGAGATTAATTAAAATGCAAAGGGCAGAAAACTGTTTCTCCTAAAAGCCTGTTCATACATAACAAAAGCTCCCCACATGGTTTTCAGGTGGGCTTTGTGCACATTACGACTCCCCACATGGCCTCTTAAACAAGGTTTTCAGGTGGGCTTTGTGCACATTACGGTGAGCTGGTCATATACAGACAAGTTGGTGTGACTTTTGCTTAGAAGGGTAACCTGAGTAGCATCATCTAGGCAAACACACAAGCCCCTCCAGGCAACTAAAGCACAAGAGTTATGGCATGCACACACTATCCAACGTGATTACATGGGGCATGTGAACTGGTCTCATCACAGCTAGTTCACTGCACTGTTGTCCTCAAGCCACAGGAACAGCTTCAGGCCCTACCCTTAGGCAATGAGGGAGAGCATTACGCTCCTCAGGTAACAATCTGCTGGTGATCCCTGGACCTAAAGAAGTCTGGCTGTCCTCGACCAGGGCCAGGACCTAATACCATCAGGGCCCTGTGGCAGCTTACACAATTCCTTAGGGCCTGTAAGCCAGAGGTATTCCGCCAGGCTTTTGGTTGATGGTTTACCTCCTGCCTGGCACCCTTCCCCCACTCCCCTTCGCCTCAGTGTTTTTACTCCCACACACACACACACGCCCACAAAGTGATCCCAGGACAGAAATCGGAGAAAACTGTAATTTTGCCACTTGATTTTTAAATTAATGTATTAATACCAACACCGTTTGTATTTATTTTATAGTTTTAATGTTTTTATTATGCTGTATATCACCCAGAGCCCTACAACAGTAGGGATTGGGTGACTCATAAATGTAATATAATAAATAAATTATTCTTTGCAGGTACAAGACTCCAATACAACAGTGGAGCTCTGCGCTTGTAAGGGCTTTCTCACTCACTGTGATGAAAGGACTGGCCACTGGGTGAGGTGATTCCAGTGCACATCAAATGAATACAGTCAGAGCGCCGACCTCCAAAATGCATGTGCATCTTTCAAGCTTCATAATTGTCAGCCCAACTTCTCTGGAGCTCCCTGGTGCCATAAGGAACAGGGCATCAGAGACAAACCTGAAGGACTCACATGCCGGCCAGTAATCCAAAGTCAGCCCTGGTTCAATCACCCTCTGGAGTTTTGTTTTGTTTTGGTTGGGGGGGGGAACAGAACGGGGAGAAAGCCAGCGGTTAGGTTCTAGTCTTAAAAGCAGCATTTTAAAAACAATGCCAGGTTTATTTGGAGAGGGGGAGGAATAAACATTTATGTCTATTGGCACTTGCACAATATATCTGCATGAGCAGAAGAGGAAATAAGGAGAGGAAATAAGCAGAAGAGGAAACATGTACACCCCCGAAGTTTATAGTGTGAGTCCCAATTACATTGAAAGACCGAGCTCAGAATCTGGCTCCCAACTATCTTTGTTTTTATATATGACAATGGCAGCAAGATTATTATATGTGCAAAAGTGGAAGAGTCTCATATTGCCTACAATAGAGGAATGGTTGGTGAAAGTGCTGGAACTTGCAACAATGGCTAACCTTACTTTCCTGATTAGAGCAAAGTTTGTTTATTGCCGATTGGAAATTCCTTATAAACTTTTTGCACTAAACAGATAATAATGATTTGATGATTTGTGGGTTTGATGAATAAGGAATTTAGACAATAGAAAAAGAGAGAGCTTTTCTTTGCTTGTGTGCTTATGCACATATGCTTATGCACATATGTGCATATCTCCGGATTACCAAAAACAAAGCCGCGCCTCCGCCACAGGCGGGCCAACAGTGCGAACGCTCCCTTGCACCTCCTCCCCGGTATGCTCCCGCATCAGTTGGCGCAGTGTGACTGGGAAAACCTGGAACAGTTTGTGCCGAATCTTTTTGCCACGACTCCTTCGCACTTCAAACTGCCAGTCTGTCCTCGGCTATAGAGTAAGAGAATATTTTGCAATCATACTTATATTTGTCACAGAAAAAATCGGAAGCCTCCTTTTATTTTATATAGTTTTTCTGTCTTTTTCTTTGCTTTGCTATCTTTCTCTTACTTGTCATTCTTTCCTTTAATAAAAAACTTTAACTGGGGGAAAAAAGAATCTGGCTCCCAAATGATGTGGCCAACGCAAAGCAGAGTGGGGTCATTCCTTTGAGCTTCATTGTTTTCCCATATATTCAGTAGTAAAACAGACTGACATTCAATAGAACAAAAAAGTCTGCCCTTGAAATATATACACAGCCAGCCATTTGAGAAACGTTCCATGTCTGCATACAACCGTAACTATAAGTGGTTGGCTGATTTAATAATGGGCAGGAATAGCTAGACTATATGGCAAGCAAATACGAGTGGATTAAATTCACTTCCTAAATCAAGGGTTACCCAAAAGAGAAAATAATCAAAATAGCCTCTATTTATGTCAAAGGAGAGAATTCGGAACACATGCTGCATGTTTTGCAGAACAAGCTGCCTCTTTTTTTAAGCTATACTTTTTCTAAGGCATGCAAGCTAAAAGCCACTTTGATCCTTTTCCTACCATTCCAGAACCAGAAGCTTTTGCCCCTTTAGCACGCCATTCTTTAAAGTGAGCTGGTAAATGGGCTTCATGCATTAATTTGTTACCCTCCCATAAATCTAAGGGGTTCGTAGTATCTCAAAGTTGCCCCACACATTCCTAAGTTGCTATTTGCAGGATACTACCATATTGGCACTTGTGGGGAAGTTTTACCTCTGTGTAAGTTGTAGCACATGAATGTCCACTAGACTTCCTCATGTGCTGGGAAGCTTCCAAGGTTTGGAAAATATGTAGGGTCAGATTTGAAGATTCTCTACACAGAGGAACCTTCCATATTGAATCTTCGTAGTAAACACAATACACTTTGAGTTGTTATTGGGTCACCAGTTAGAAGTGATTTCTACAAACACTAAAAAACCAAACCGAAAAGCCCTGTTTTTAGTTTGACTTACTGTCCCCCTCACTTCCCAGAACAGGTGGAGGTTCTATATATAAAACGTTTTTTAAAAAAAATAGCCAGGGCACTTAAGTTTTCCCCATTCCTCCCACAAGACTGGCTGTTGACTTGGACTGCCTGCAGGATTCTTAAAGGTGTTTAAAGGGATTGTGGTCCCTTTAGATGCCTTCTCCAAGCGCAGCGAGTGAACACTTGGAGATGTTTAAGGGGCTGCGAGCCCTTCAAATGCCTTCAGAGTCTTGCTGAGGAGTCGTGCAGCTTGGAGAAGGCATTTAAAGGGACCACTACTCTTTTAAACACCTTTTTTTCCTCCATTGAAAGCTATGAAGGATGGGGGCACTTTCTTTGGGTGCCCACAGAATTGGACCCCCTGGTCCAATCTTTTTTAAACTTGGGGGGTTTGAGGAGAGGCACCAGCAGCTATGCTGCAAATATTGGTGTCTCTATCTCAAAAAACAGCCACCCCCAAAGCCCCAGATTGGTTTGCCATTATACCCTATGGGAACCATTGACTATAATGGTCCCCACAGGGTATAATCCCCCCCCAAAAAAATTCAGGTTTCCCAAATATTTCCTGAATCCAAATACCATACCAGTATTGGGATTTGGGAATATTGGAAAATACCGATATTCTTCAGGTTCAATATGCCCAAACCCCCAAAAATACTTCTTCTTTTTTGCACACCCCTAGTTATATCTCTGCATGATTTCTTGCTCTGGTCTTCATCCCAGTCAGTATCCACTGCTGGGAGGACAAGTCTGTCATGTCGCTGTATTGGGTGCAGTTAGCTCATTACAGCCAAGTTACCAGCCCTCTGAGGAAGCATGCCCACTACTGTAAGTGTCCAGAGTGGACTCCTCCGCAGTCCAAAAGGAAACTTTTTTGGGGGCACACCCCTAGAAAATGAGTATTGACGAAAATTTGTTTTATGAATGTCATCACTAGAATTTTGTAACACGAAGGCCATTTCACAGAACAACTTGATGACGTAAGCAGTGGTGGATTTTAATATAACATTGGCAGTTGCCAAGTTCTTTTCTCAGTTGATTAAAATTAAAAATCATTAAATTTTTACATTATCTAGACACATGTATTAAATAAATTTCCTTCTTTTTTTTAGTCTTAGCGTGACATTGTTCAGAACCGAATTGGCTGTAAGAGCAGTGTCATTAAAGTAAAGACGTAAGCAGAAGAGTGACTTTGCCCCAAAGTCACCCAGTCAACATCATGGTTAAGAAGGGATTTGAAGCTAGGTCTTCTGTGCCCAAACCTAATGCTGTGATCATTCCACTTGGCGTTAATTTTTGATCATTCGAGGGGCAGCGTTTTAAGGCCACTTCACCCAAAGCAATGATGAGCAGAGACAGTGAAAAGACAGCTTGTCCTGGCTGGAAGTTCCAGACTGTGGTGTACCCAAGAGTTATCCTGAGAGGAAGGTGAAGAAGAAAATCCTGGGAAACACATAAGACAAGACAACTTACCTGTTTCTCTCTAAACTTTCCTCCAGCTATGAGAAGGTTAGCTGTGACACAGTGGCAGACTCATCAGTGATTTTGTTCCCCCCCGGGAGAGAGATTTGCCCCCTCAGTGCATGCCAGTTGCCTACCAGTGAGCCAGAAAACTGCATGCAAATTAATCCAAGCACCATTCAAGTCATTAATTGGTGTACCGCGTTGATTAACAAAACAATGCTTGCAGCCCTAATATTTTCTCAGCTTCAATCTGAAGGCTCAGATATACCGGCTAATTAACACATTTGTCCTTCAAAGACTCCAAAAGACCATCTGAGATTGTATTAAAATCCACACTGTTATCATATCGATTAGTATTCAGTTCTTTTACATAAATACAAACAACCTTTCAGCAAGCACTCACCGTCTCGTGTGTTCTGACTGAGGATCTGAGCACATAACTCTTTGGGGCTAATTCCGAGGTGTTCTCCAATTTCCTCTATGCTGTAAGGCTCCGGATGAAAGACTTCCTCAACAACAGTCAGCATTTCCTCCAGGCTGAGTTTCAGTGCGACCTGCACATCCTGGAGCTTTGCCATTGCTTTCCAATCTAGACCTTTGGATTTGGCTAAAAGCTGCAACAACAAACCAGGCATGCATTTTGGGATGTGAAATGGATACAAGATGTTTATTTAAACCAAATAAACCTAATAGTCTGTCTTGAAGAAAAAATGTTCCTGAAGACCACAGAGAATTGCTTGGAAAATCAGCCCAACAGCCACCTAATTAAACATTCAGTTTCCAGCAACAGCAAGATCTGTGCACACATAAATCTGTCTGACATTGGGGTGGATCCTACCACTCTACTGAGCAATGTTCACTTATTAATACCTCAAATTTTCTTCTGGCTTAAGTTTGAAGGCTTCGTCCAAATTAAGTGCCTCTTCTATAGGAGGAAGGCTTTTCTGGCTAGAGGAAGGCTACCTGGAGGAAGGTTGGATCCACTCAGAGCAGTGGTTCTTCAGGGTCTCGGTTAAAGGTCTTTCACCTTACGTCTGGACCTTTTAACTGGAGATGCTGGAGAACTGACCTATTCTGCATACAAGGCAGCATCTCTTGAGGGTTTCAGGCACAGGCCTTTCCTATCATGGGGCAGGGGCATGGCTCAGTGGCAATGCTCCCTCTAAGCTGTAGAGTCTTGTCAGCAAAAATTCAGCTTTGTGAGCCACTGGCATTAAAGTGGTGAGCGAGGGATCTGGCTCCTGCATAAATCAGTTTGCTCTGGAGCCATCCTTCCTGAGCTAAGACAAAAATGTGTGAGCCGGAGGCTAAAAAACTGTGAGCTAGCTCACACTAACTCAGCTTAGAGGGAACACTGCTCAGTGGTAGAGCATCAGGTTAAAGTGCAGAAGAACCCAGCTTCTGTCCCTGGTATCCAGAATCTGGACCTTTCTGCACTTAAATCTGGTGGTCTACCATTGAACCATGCCCTGAAGGAGCTCCTAAGCACAGCTTGAAGACAGGAGCCATCTCATGTTTGTCCCCAGCCTCTGGTATTCAAAGGTATGTTGCTTAGCTTTTCTGAAGCCCTTTCAAGCTGATGGCCATCTCTTGATGTCTTGAGCATTTTCTCACAAGAAATATTTTAAAAAAACTGCTTGAAGTTCCTCACCTCAAAATACAAATTTAACTCTGTCTGATTCAGCTTAGGCTGAGGTTAAGGTGGTAGCTAAATTCTTAGCCACTAAACAATGACAATTTCTTAGCAAGGAGGATAAGCCTGGATGCTTTTCTTGACATCATAGTAGACGAGTCACAATACAGAGGCCTGATATTCCACACAGACGATCCCCCTCGTGTGCTGTTTAAAGTGGCTTTGAGACAGCTGCTCATATACACAGAGGATCATTGGCTATTCCTGGAAAGAGCATTTCTGTATTACTTTAGCTTTGATCTAAGACTTGACGATTGAACCTGATCTTTTCCTGGGTGTCATGCACTGCTGTGGCAAACGAATCTGACAAGACTAAATATTCTGGGCAGTCATTTGCAGAGATAGGGCTGCTGTCCAGTTCTTCCACTTCTGTCTCTATCTGTGGAAGTCCACTGGCTCTACTATTGATGGAAGTAAGGCTGGTTTCCCAGCCCCCCACACTGCTTTCTTCCTTAAGCTATGACCTGTAAGTGGGTGTGTGAAGGCAGTCCACTGTGCTTGATCTGTACCTATGAAGGACACTTAGAGGTCTGCTCAAAAACATGTGCAAAATAATAAATGCCTCTGAGCATGTACAGAGTGCATTTCCCTCCCCAGAATGATTAAAACCAACTCTAAGAGCTGAAGGAATGGGTTCTACGTAGCACTTCTCATTGTAGCAACTAAGTTCATAGACATAATAAATGACTGTGCACTGGGACAGTTCATCACTGAGCCAACTTGGTTCTGAGTGGGTCGTGTTGAGGAAAACTGGACCTCCAGTTCAATTCTTTGTTCTTGCATTAAAACATTGGTTCAGACTTCATATCAACATGCCTGAAACATGGGGGAGGAGATCAAAGGGAAGAGATCTGGGGTTTGCTATGAGAAAGCTGACAAGTCTTGACTTGGTGCCTTTGAATAACAGTGACAAGGAGCCACACCATTTGGTCACCTGGAAGGGTTGTGGCATCAACTCACACCTCATTTCTTCCTCTGATGCTTTGATTTACACTATAGAGAGAAGCATCCTGTCATAAACGGCTTCTCTGCTGATTTTTGGATTGGCTAAAGGGCCCCAACTATTCAAATCTGAGACTTTAAGAGTTAGCTTTTCTGTTCTTCTGTGTTAGTTGGAGCAAGCCAGCTTCAGCTCTCCTGGAGGCAATCGGCTAACCTGATCATGGGTTAGACATAGGCCTGGCACACAAAGAGACTTGGAAAGATGCTTGACTTCACCCAAGAAGGGTAACATATGGTAACTATAATTTAGGATCTAATGTGTAACTAGAACTTATTATATAGATTTGTTTTCCTGCTCATTGCTCTGTTCTTTGTAATATTCTTTGAAATATTCTTGCACTTTAATATATACTTTTAATATATCTGGTTGTTCTGTGCTTTAGAAGCTTCAATCTAATTGGCCAAGCTCTAATTTAATTCCAGTACCTTATACTTATTACTGGTTTATTATTAGTGGAAACTCATTCTGCAAGTGGACAACCTTACAGGGCTGATTTCCTGGCTTATTCCCAGGAAGATTGGAAGTTTGCCCTTTGGCTTCTAATCGTAGGATAGTCAAAATGGCTGGTGGCAGGTCTGGACTCACACTCCACGGTTGTTTGTAATTTTGAGCTCTGCCTATCCATAGCAAGGATCCCCTGGATTGGGAATTCTTGTCTCAACACCTGGTGAGAGATGTAGAGGCTGATACACTAATTGGGAACAGTGACTACAATGCTATTAAGTTCAGCGTTCAGGTCAATGGAAAGTTACCCCTAAAATTCAAACTGTAACATTTCAAAAACAGGGAACTTTACAAATATGCATGGAAGGGTTAAAAAAAAGTGAAGGGGAAACACAAGAGAGCCAAGTCTCTAGAGGATGCTTGGAAGCTATTAAAAACCACACTAATTGAAGCCCAAATAGAATGCATTCCACAGGTTAGGAAAAGCACTGCCAAGGCCTATGTGGTTAACAACACAAGTCAAGGAAGCTAAATTAAGTAAAGAGGCTTCTTTTAAAAAGTGGAAGGTCTGCCCCAATGAATTGAACAGGAGGGACCACAGGCTCTGGCAAAAGAAATGCACGTCAATCATTGGGCATGTGAAAAGAGATTTTGAGAAGTGGATTGCTAAAACCATCAAGACCAACAATAAGCATTTTTTAAAATATATCCAGTGCAGGAAACCAGCCAGAGAAGCAGTGGGGCCTTTGAATGACAAAGGAATAAAGGGATTGCTAAAGGAAGATGGAGATGGCAGAGAAGCTCAATGACTTTTTTGCTTCTGTGTTCACTGTAGAAAGTGTGGAGCACTGAAGAACTGAGCCAAATTGAGGTGACCAGAGATGAAGGTTAAGAAGAAGAAGAGAAGACATTGGATTTACACCTCGCCCTTCACTACCCAAAGGTGTCTCAGAGTGGCTTACAAACTCCTCTCCCTTCCCATCCCCACAACAGACACCCTGTGAGGTAGGTGGGGCTGAGAGAGCTCTTGACAGAAACTGCTCTTTTTTCAAGAACAGCTCTTATCAGAACCATGGCTTGCCCAAGGTCATTCAGCCAGGTGCAAGTGGAGGAGTGGGGAATCAAACCCGGTTCTCCCAGATTAGAGTCCGCGCACTTAACCACTACACCAAACTGGCTCTCTACTAAGACCTACTGGGGAAATTAAAAACTAATAAGTCTCCAGATCCTGATGGCATACACCCAAGGGTTCTTAAGGAACTCAGATGTGAGAATTACTAACCCATATATGTAACCTATCACTAAATTCAGCTGCTGTGCCAGAAGACTGGGGAGTAGCAAATTTGACACCAATTTTTAAAAAGGGATCCAGAAGGGAACCAGGAAATTACAGGCCAGTCTGCACATTTGTCTGTTTCCATCAAATTAGTAGAAACAATAATCAAAGATAGAATTGTTAGGTACATGGTGTCAAACTTGGGCATCCTTTGCCATGGGTTTCTTAACTGTCAGTCTGACTTTGACTCTGTATGCTTATCGTCCTGTTTCATTCTGTCTGGGAGGGGGGAGCATGTGAGTGTATGTGTGTGGAATTGCTTTGCTGGGAGTAGTGCTTGCTTGAAACTGTGTCTATAACGGAGTCTCCCTTCCAGGGGAAGAATGAATGCTGTCCTTGAGTGCCAGACACTGCTAGATAATGTAACCCTATGCTTGCAGGTGTTGGAGGAGGGCTAATGGTTCACAGTAGATTTTGGCGGGCTGGATGTATTGGTGTAATTGGACTGGTCATAAGGGGGGACTGTTTGAATTATGTATAATACAAGAACTGGTACCAAGGGAGTCAGTTCTGACACAAATCATCTATGCTTGAGACCTCTTTATCTCTCAATAAATAAATCTCTGCCAAGAGAGTGTTCTTGGGAGTGAGTTTCTGCAAGACCTGACACATAGAGGGACAAAGCCTGCAGAGTGAAAATCAGCATGGCTTCTGCAAAGGGAAGTCCTGCCTCACCAACCTTTTGGAGTTCTTTGAGAAAGTTGAACAAGCATGGTGACTCAGTGGACATTATATACCTGGACTTTCAACAAGATTTTGACAAGGTACCTCACGAAGGACTCCTGAGTAAACTTAGCAATCATGGGATAGGAGGACGGGTTCTCTTACAGATTAAAAACTGGCTCCATGACAGGAAGCAAAGAGTAAGAATAAAGGGACAGTTCTCACTATGGAGAGAAGTAAGCAGTGAGGTCTCACAAAGATCAGTACTGGGGCCAGTACTACTTAATTTATTCATAAATGATCTGGAACTAGGGGTGAGCAGTGCAGTGGCCAAGTTTACAGAATACACCAAATTATCCAGGATGGTGGAAACCAAGGCTGACTGTGAAGAGCTCCAAGAGAACCTCCACAAACTGGGTGAGTGGGTGACAATGTGGCAAATGAAGTTCAATGCTGGTAAGTGTAAGGTGATACA